CATCCCACCCCAGCTCTCAGTAGGCAACCAGGGAGATGCAGTTTCATGTAGAGGAAACACTGGTAAATAGATAGAGGACAGAGGGACAGTGTGTGGAGTGAAAGCTTGAAGTGGATTTTTCCGCGAGTGCACAGGTTTGTCCACAGTGTACCCCACACTGCAGCATAACTGTTATACAGCTACTGCTGAATCATTAACAACTCAGCATGTGTCAGAGAGGCTGGTGATGTGGAGGACACTCTGTATTTGACAGGATATACAGGTTTTCATATACCTGCCTTCACTGGACTGCAGTATTTTCTGAATGGTTTAAATATAGGAATATGTCAAGTCGGTATCTTATGGCATTAAACTTTGAAATACTTTATATAGAGTTTAACATCGTGAGCACCTTCTGAACTAAATCATTTTTTATTATATTTTCTGGATACCAGTCGCTGTACTTTGGCTTTTATATGTATTTTTGGAGTTAAGTTGTCATATTTTGGATTTGGCTAACTAGTTAACCTGGTTATCTTCAGCTACAGCTAGTGCTATTTAATTTTGTCGTTAATAGGTTTCTGTTTAATTTAGTCCTGGCTAACTTTAAACTACTTTTCTAATAACTTTTGGCAATTTTGTAAGTTGTTTATTGATAATTATATAATTGCTTTGGCAAAATATTAGCTGATTACTCGCTTGTTTTTTTAATTGTGTTTTCCACAATTTTCCATTGTGATTTATAATGTAAATACAGTCAGCTCACATTCTTTGATTCTTTTAAAAAATGATATTACATTTCAGTATTTTTATTATTATGTTATATGGTTAAACATATAACATGGTCATTTCTTATATTGTTTCTCATTTAAATCTTAATACACTCCTCATTTGCTAGTGTTGTTGTGCTTATGCACGTCTCCGAAACGTGTACTCAGAGTACTGCGTGTCCTTATTTCAGTATCTGTTTTTAACCTTATAAAAATCATTTTAGTTCACATAATAAGAGATTTACTTCGTACAAATACGTTGTAATGTATGGCAGACACATCTGAACCTGCATCATGATATGCTCCAAAAACATTTTCAAGGAGATTTTTCCTAATTTGTATAGCAACAACCTCAGGCTAGGTGTAAACAGGGGAAGACTTTTTTAAGGATTCATCAAAAAGAGCAGAGGACGGAGGCAAACCTCCACCTCATGATGCTGAGTTTACAGATACCTGCTGCCTCTCGTCACCGCACTGTCACTGTGTACCCACAGGTAACAGTGATCCTTCCCTCTCTGTGAGAGCTGCTGTGTCAGCTGCACAGGAGAAGTGTTGTGGGAGTATTTCAGGTTTCTCTCTCCCACTGTCTCCAGGAGAAATGAAATTGTATTCACACAGGAGTCGTGAAACCTCGCACCGGGGAGTAATACAGCGTTTTATATCGACGCTACCGGCTGCACAGAAGGATAATGGTCTTATAAATAGCATGAGGTAAAATGAAGATGGCACATAATGGTAACACAATTATGATTTGATTGGTAGGCTGTCTAATATGGCAGTGCATAGTGTCATTGTTGTGGCGTGGTGACCACGTAAAAGTTCCAACGGGCTAAAGTCAACGTGTTCTGTCTCTGTGCCGGCGCCTCTGATCAATAGTCCATTTTGATTCTTGGTAGAAGAAGTAGTTCTGTTTTTGTCCGTGCCTAGAGATGGTTGACAAGGAGACGGAGAACAGCGCCCTTGATTACTCAGAAAACCTCTCCCTTTGCGGTCCTTTTTTTTTTATTGTTTTCCTTCCACCCTCCTACAGGGCTGCTTGATTGAGTTTGCAGCCAAATAGGCCAATTTGTTGCCTCTGGAGAGGAGTCGGCATAATGTTGAAAATCATGGACTGCGTCTTACGGCCAAAGTCATCAAACAATGTAACAAATAATGAGTTATTACAGATAAACAGAAATTTTAAAATGAAGGGAACATGAGAGTTTTTAACTTAAATTTGTTTTTAAATTGTTTAGTCCATTACATATACCATCATTTCAGAGCAGTTGGGATCCCACATGCCACTCACACACACTCATTGTCTACTAAAAAACAAACTACAAGGAATAATGTTTTTATATCCACACAATGTTTTTCTAACATTTTTTTAAATAAATGCAAACTTATAAATGTAGTTGATCACTGTACCGTATGTATCAACCACAGCGTCTTCTTTCCTGTGGAGTTCCACAAGGTTTGATTCTTGGGCCTTTTCCATTTTTTTTTTTTTTTTTTAAGAAACTTGCTTCATCTGCTTGATCTTTTATACAGATTTGTTTTACTGTCTAATACACATTTCTCTTGACCTTCAAGTATATGCAAATATGTGTTGTTTTTGCTAAATATTTCTTTGCATTAAGAAGCCAGGCAATACTGTAGCGTTTAAAGATCAGTGTCTAAACTTTAATTTGAGAGTTAAAATATCGCCTGACCTTGATTTATTTCATTACTGAAGTTCTCTTTTGGTTAATAAATTCATTAAAAGTTAAAAGGTCTGTACTTCCAGACATTCCTTCCTACATTTATGTCAAACTTCAAGTCCAGTTACCACTGACTCTCAAGGTTTCTCATTCAAATGTAACTGTTTTCTCTGGTGTTTAAGGTTATGATACAGCGTTAATGGTACATTGTTTTCCCATTCCTGTTTGATGTAGTTTATTGTTACTGTACAGCACTTTACTTCACCCCTGATGTTTTAACAGCGTTATATAAATAAATCTGACTGGACTGGATGCAAAAGGTTATAAATAGCGCATGTCGTATTTATATCACCAGAGGAAGTAGTGATGATGGTATTGACTTGGCTGCTTCACTGGACGTTTTACAAGAAGGCAGCCACTTCTGTGATTAGTGGGTGAAATAATTGGTCCTCTGATCAATGTGGCGATGTTCACGATGTAAATCAATAGTCATCTGGCTCCGGCTACAGGGGGCTTCAGCTGTATGCTCTGTTTAAGGGCATTTGGAATTAAATTTTAATGGCATTTGAAAACGATCAAATCTCGTTCCATGTGTTTTTTTTCCCTCCAGGAGAGGTTCGAGGCATTGTTTAGGATCTACGACGAACAGACGACGTTCCAGATGTTCAAAAGCTTCCGAAGAGTCCGGATCAACTTCAGCACCCCAGAAGCCGCTGCCCGCGCCCGCATTGAGCTGCATGAGTCAGACTTTAATGGCAACAAGCTAAAACTCTACTTTGCCCAGGTAAGCAGATAAGATAGAGTCTACCAGGGAACAGCGCCACCTCAGGAGGAGGGCCCTTTGTTTTCTTGTGTTGCTACATTGTGGTCCATTTTCTTAAATTAACAACAAACAAATATATAATACTGTAGAAGTGAGAGGAAAAAAAACAAGGCAGTTGACATTTCCTCTTCGTCATACTCCAATCACTCCCATTGTATGGAAAAGCCTCCATTCTAGCTTTTGATTAAACATATTCACTTCTCAGCCTCCCATTAAAGGCTGTCACAACAACAGCTGCTGTGGTCAACTCACATTTACCTTTTGTGACATTGATGGCAGTGATCAAGGCTGTTGTGATGAAAATCAAATGTATCTGACATTTCTGTCCTTTTGTTGTGTCAGTCCCACTCAGACACTGCAAGCGATAAACGTACTGTATGAACTCTGAACAAAAAAATCAGAAGAACCTGGCTAACCATGTTGGCTAACGATGTGAACCTGGCTAACGATAACGGTGTGAATACAAGTGTGAATGCCTCGCCTGATGAATGGCGGGTTTTGCTCCAGCTTCCCCCACGATGCTGAAAAAGAAGATTTGAAAATATGTTTAAAACAAGAAATTGTACTGATGTGCTAAAGCATTCTTACTAATGGTCCCAAATTTCAAAGTATTAGTGGTCACATTTAATCAGTGCTTTTGTCAGTACTGATCTCGTATATATGGTAGTAACTGTAATGATTGGAAGATATCGTGACACTGAAATCCCTCTGTAGGAAGGATCCTGCAATTTGACACCAAACACTGAGGCTGTGACTACAAATCTGATGTGCTTTGCTGCTGCTGGGTATCAAGATTATATCGAAAAACGTGCCGGATATTGAACACTACCGCCTCCTTTGACCTATTTCAAATAATTTTTTTACATTTTCTCAAAACTAGAGAACTGTTTACATCAGTCTGTTTTCTGACCGTGTCAATATCCTGGATTATATGACATTTTCAAGTTGAGACACAGCGACGTGCCCTGTGCGGTGTACTGAAGACACTGAAGCGTTTTTCACTTTTATTGCCCGTTCAGATCCAGAATGGTGATGAGGACATTGATAAGTCCTACCTGGCTCCTCCCCAGCCCGTCAAACAGTTCCTGATCTCACCGCCTGCGTCACCACCAGTGGGCTGGAGCCAGAGCGAGGACGCCACGCCCGTCATCAACTATGACCTCCTGTGTGCTGTCGCCAAGCTAGGACCTGGTCAGTACCAAAAAAAAAAAAAAAATGTCCATGTTGTATGTTGTACACACTTTCAACACACAGCTTTGTTCACTGTCAGGTACAGTGTTGCATTAATTTGAGTCATTTATTTCAGAAGTGTAACCCAGATACAAACAGGAAATGAATCACCCGCCTCAGCACAGTGGGTGTACGTGGGAAGTAAATGGGACAAAGAAAGTGAAGTTGAGTTATCGCTGATTTGTTCAGTAACGCTTTTTTTTTTTTTTTTTTTTTTTGCTGCTTTTATGCAACTTCATTATGTTGACAGGAGGTGAACCAAATGAATAGGTCTGAGTGAGAAGGCTGTCATCGTCACAGCTCCTTCTCCAGGATGACTGGGTCTCTTATACTGCGCCATGATAACAACAGTGTCCACCACCACTCATGACAGTAACATCACTGTGCACTGGCATCACAAGAGATCAAATTGAATATTTGTACAAGAGCAGTACACGTGTTCTCTTCAGTACTGTGGTTTTGGGAGGTTATTTGAATTGGATTTAATTATCCATCCATCCATCTTGTACGCTTTTCCGTTACCGGGTCGCGGGGGCAGCAGTCTCCATGACCGCCACCCAAATCACACTGCACCGTACCAACCCCCCTGAACCTTCCTGTGGGTGGTGAGTCCACTGGAAGGTACCAACCGCCCTAACTGGGATTTGATCTTGCCCAGGAGGTGAACCCTGGGGTTTCACACCAATGACAGAGACGTTGCCTCTGGGCCAAAGCGCCACTGAATTTAATTATGTAAGCTCTAAAAATGTAAAAGGCCCACTTATATGTCCTAATTATTGAAATAACTTAATTGTTAGTTTTCCTAATATATTAGTAGTAGCAAATGAAAAGTTAAGGAAACTCAGTCAAGTTGTTTTTGGACAGTTTTGCCTTCTTTTCCTTGAGTTTCTATCAGTTTTAATGTTACATTGTTCCCACAAGATTTTAAATTGCTGCAACCTTTAAGAAAATGTCACCTAACACACACACACAGACACACGCGCGCGCAGAGAAAGGACAAGGAACATGGTGCACACTGTCTGTTTATGTTTGTGTTCTCAAACAGGAAACAACTTCTCCCTATGTTTGTGTTCTCAAACAGGAAACAACTCTCTGTCTGGCTTCACCTCTTTGTCTTCTGTTTGTACTGGAGCCTTCATGAAAAAAAAAGAAAACACAGTTTCACATTCAACACAAACAAAACCCACACTGTCCGGCTCAGAGGACCACTTTCATCGTGTCCCGTTGTTACCATAGTAACACGACGGATCAGCAAACCGCTTTGTTCTCAAAACCCTGGCATCTGTGATCAGATTAGAGCGGGTTCATAGCACAGCGCGTTGTCTCCCTCTGTCTGCTCCCGAGGTAACAGCAGGACTCTTTTCACCCTCCGTCTCACTGTTTGGCAGCCCAGTGAAAAACTGCTCTAATAATTCCCTGCTGTCTGCCAGCTGTCTGATCTCATCGCCATGGCAACTGTGATACAATCTCACAAGTGTGCACGCATGTGTTTTCTGTCCAAGTACACAGAGAAGGGCATCTGAACCACTGGAGTGCTGTTGTTCTATCTCAGTCCTGCGGCACTGCTGCGGGAAAAAACTGAAACATCCTTGAGCCGACACACACAGATACCAATGCAAACACACGTTTTTTATTTTCAGCAAATGTAAAATGTATCTTTATTGTAGCTGCTCATAATAGAGGTACCTTAGAGCGGTGCTATTTCTGGCCCCCTGCTGGTCCTTCTGTGTGTTCTGTTTCCATGTTCCTCTGGTGTATGCAGTGGTTTTCTCCAGGTAATCTGGATTATTTACATGGTCCAAAAACATGGATTTGGTAAATGATTCACTCTAAATTTAGCGTCGGTGTGAATCTGAGTGTGAATGGTTGCTGGTCTCTGTACGTTGGTCCAGTGATGGACTGGAGAACCTTCCTGGGTCTACCCTGTCCTAGCCCCTGTGACTGCTGAGATTGGCTGCAGCTCCCTCTGGCGGCCAGACATGGATTAAACGGAAGAGAACAACGTATTAAAGTGGCTGATTCATCACTTCTCCCCTTGGTGATGGGTTCAAAGCAGAGGCTCAGTTTCGTTGTATTCCCGTGGTACAACGACAATACAGACCATGAAATAAAAATATAATAATTTAGGAATAACAATGGTGGATAAGAATATCAATCCTTCTGGAAAAGAAAATCTTTAAAAAACAAACAAACATGGCTCCCGGGGTTTCAGACTTACTTCGGGTTTAACGTCTCAAGGCCACTAGTAGTAAAAAAGAGAATACTTTTTTAAAAAACATAGACACGTGTTTTAGCGGCTCCTTCTTTAAACCTTAAAATATGAACATACATACAAAATAAGTTCTCCATGACCACTAGAGGTCTTACGTACCCCGGTCCGGAAACGTTACAGTTTATTATAATCAACCAATTCATCCACCCCTCCCCTCTGTCTGTTCACAGGTGAGAAGTATGAGCTCCACGCAGGGACAGAGTCCACCCCCAGCGTGGTCGTCCACGTGTGCGAGAGCGAGACAGACGAGGAAGAAGGGGCTCGACCAAAGCAGCAGATCGTCCAGACCAGACGTCCCGACGGCGCCCCCAAAGTCTGCAACTAGAGAGTCCTTCTTTCCCGACGCCGGCGCGGCCCTGTGACCGCCCCTTTAAAAAAAACCTGCAACACACCTGCCCCTCTCTCTTGTCTGTGCACTCACAGAGAGCGTCGGTGCCCCTCATTTCAGTTCAACTACAAGCAAAAATAAATTAAAAAAAAAAACACACACCAACAAACATTGCTCAAAGACGGTGTTTGTGGGCGAGCGTGGCGACGGAATGAGGCGGCTCGTGGACGGGGATGGATGAGAATCACACACACACTCATCACATTCAGCAGACAGACGGCGTGGGGAGTGACGGGGGAGGGGGCGCTCGCCTCCGCCCTCACAGTCCACCCTCGTTTTCAGTAAAGAGGGGGGGATATCTGTCCGGATGTTGTAGGCACCTGTCACTTACCGCACATACATCCATTGCTAGTCCTGCACTGTAGCTCGCTAGCCGTACCTCTCCCTTTAGCCTCACAGTTGTTGGTCTGATCACAAAGACATTTTTAAACTATGTTTTCATATGTATATAAATGGTATACATATGCTTATTGATACACCTGTGTACGTCTACACTTCGACTTTTTTCATCCATTTTTACATCCGGTTTTTCACTTTAGCTTGCATCCAGTTGAGTGTGTGATGGTCCTTCTTGTCTGCATGTAACAATGAATATATTTCAAAAAAAAAGAATACTTAACAGAAACACAAGTACTAACAAGATATAACAAGGGAAAAAACAAGGAACCTATTAAACGTCACACAGCACGAAACGCCATACGTGACTATCGGAGTTGTAAGTAGTCGCCGTTTGACTTTTCTTTCGCCGGTTTCTGTCTCTTTCGATCGGAAAAGGTGTTGTTTTTTGCTTAACTACTCGATGTGTATTCTTATTCTGTGTATTTGACACACTGATACTTTTTGCATGCTTAATTATTTCCTTAGACGTGGAGGTCTTTTCATTTTTTATTATGGTTTGTGATGACAAGGTTAGCCGGTATGAAGCTTCTGACGCTCGTAAAAACTCTTATCTGTGTGACTGACGGTTGAGTCTTTGGCACGATGATACGCTTGTGGCTTTTTGAGGAGGGGGGGATTCGAAGGATTCATCCCCATCCTTTGACAGTTTTTTAAAGATGTTGCTTTTTTTTTCTATGATTTGTGTTTGTTGACGTTCAAATCTTTATGTTCTTTGTGTGTTTTCCTTTTCTGAAATCGAATGCTTGTTTTGCACTGAGTATCTCTCGATATCTCCAAGCAGTCGCAGGGCTGCGACTGCTGCAGAGCGCTCGACTACTGCGCTGCTTTCCTTTGTAAATAGCCGTGGATGGTGGCAGATGGCTGGACGTAGTCCTTTTAGATTCTGTAGTTTACTTGAAGGCATTTTTGCTGAGAAAAGGGAATGTTATTAGGAAGCCTCGCCAGATGTCAACCAAAGCGTCCCCTCACCTTCCATCTAAATGATTTGTTATCATGAATGCGTTTTGGCTTAAATACAAGTATTTCGTTTCCCTTTTTCTTCTACATTCTAAATATGCAGTACACTTATTATCACACCTTTGACAAATGACTTTGTTTATTTCTAATATCAGATAATGACGTTTGATGACATCATTCAGATCTTAGCAGAGACTGTGGAGATCAGTATTGGTGTCTGACACTGTCGCTACGATGGCGTCTGTGCCCCTCATTTCAGTGCAACTACAAGCAAAAATAAATTAAAAAAAAAAACACACACCAACAAACATTGCTCAAAGACGGTGTTTGTGGGCGAGCGTGGCGACGGAATGAGGCGGCTCGTGGACGGGGATGGATGAGAATCACACACACACTCATCACATTCAGCAGACAGACGGCGTGGGGAGTGACGGGGGAGGGGGCGCTCGCCTCCGCCCTCACAGTCCACCCTCGTTTTCAGTAAAGAGGGGGGGATATCTGTCCGGATGTTGTAGGCACCTGTCACTTACCGCACATACATCCATTGCTAGTCCTGCACTGTAGCTCGCTAGCCGTACCTCTCCCTTTAGCCTCACAGTTGTTGGTCTGATCACAAAGACATTTTTAAACTATGTTTTCATATGTATATAAATGGTATACATATGCTTATTGATACACCTGTGTACGTCTACACTTCGACTTTTTTCATCCATTTTTACATCCGGTTTTTCACTTTAGCTTGCATCCAGTTGAGTGTGTGATGGTCCTTCTTGTCTGCATGTAACAATGAATATATTTCAAAAAAAAGAATACTTAACAGAAACACAAGTACTAACAAGATATAACAAGGGAAAAAACAAGGAACCTATTAAACGTCACACAGCACGAAACGCCATACGTGACTATCGGAGTTGTAAGTAGTCGCCGTTTGACTTTTCTTTCGCCGGTTTCTGTCTCTTTCGATCGGAAAAGGTGTTGTTTTTTGCTTAACTACTCGATGTGTATTCTTATTCTGTGTATTTGACACACTGATACTTTTTGCATGCTTAATTATTTCCTTAGACGTGGAGGTCTTTTCATTTTTTATTATGGTTTGTGATGACAAGGTTAGCCGGTATGAAGCTTCTGACGCTCGTAAAAACTCTTATCTGTGTGACTGACGGTCAGTCACAGTCTTTGGCACGATGATACGCTTGTGGCTTTTTGAGGAGGGGGGGATTCGAAGGATTCATCCCCATCCTTTGACAGTTTTTTAAAGATGTTGCTTTTTTTTTTCTATGATTTGTGTTTGTTGACGTTCAAATCTTTATGTTCTTTGTGTGTTTTCCTTTTCTGAAATCGAATGCTTGTTTTGCACTGAGTATCTCTCGATATCTCCAAGCAGTCGCAGGGCTGCGACTGCTGCAGAGCGCTCGACTACTGCGCTGCTTTCCTTTGTAAATAGCCGTGGATGGTGGCAGATGGCTGGACGTAGTCCTTTTAGATTCTGTAGTTTACTTGAAGGCATTTTTGCTGAGAAAAGGGAATGTTATTAGGAAGCCTCGCCAGATGTCAACCAAAGCGTCCCCTCACCTTCCATCTAAATGATTTGTTATCATGAATGCGTTTTGGCTTAAATACAAGTATTTCGTTTCCCTTTTTCTTCTACATTCTAAATATGCAGTACACTTATTATCACACCTTTGACAAATGACTTTGTTTATTTCTAATATCAGATAATGACGTTTGATGACATCATTCAGATCTTAGCAGAGACTGTGGAGATCAGTATTGGTGTCTGACACTGTCGCTACGCAGCATGACATCTCACTTTAGACGTAAATACCCATAAGACCATCTGCATGTGAGCACTTTATTGACAGAGTTTTGTTTCTTTAGCGTAAATACTGTCGTTCTTGAGAGGAAATATGAAGCACATTGCATTTATTCCTTTATGTGTGTTGTTGTTGTTCATGAAGCACATTGCATTTATTCCTTTATTTGTGTGTTGTTGTTGTTGTTCTTCTTCTTTCTCTGTCTCAAGCTGAACACATGTTTAGCCTTTTCACCAGCATATTGCAGTGATGTTTTTTTGTTTCCCAGGCCTTGTGGATCAATGGAGTGCGCTACTAAAGAAATATCAGAGATGACACAGAACCAGTGTCCTCGTCTTAGTGTTTGTCTAAATAATACACCAATCTTACTGAGGAAGTTGAACACGTTCTTGGAAACACACCCAGTTGTCAGAGCTCAGTTTTACTGATGCTGCGGTAAAGCTGTCGCAGTTATTTACAAAGACAGCTGATTGGAGGAACTACTGACGTGGAACACGCAGTGAGGAGGAGGAACCAGAATAAGAAGAATGAAGAAGAATATTTTGGTTGTAGGTGAAATGAAAATGTGTAAATTGTGTACATATGCCAAGTCTTTGTGTTGCTGAGGCCAGTTCCAGTGTGCAGTTTGTTACGGCTTTGCAATGCTGTAAATGAGAAAAAAAGAAAAAAAATACAAAAATGTGTAACGGTAAGTCCTAAAGATGCTCGAGCAAAACCAACTGTCATTGTGTTGTGTTTAACAGTTCGACAATGGACTCTGTTTGGATGTTTCTTTTATTTCCTGAAATTGTCAACTTCAACAAAAGAACAAAACAAAACAAATCAAATTCGCAGTTTGTCACTGTTGTACTGTTTTTGTTTAAGTATAATTATTGTATCTTGTATTGTAGTAATCCAGAAAACAAAGTAGCAAAACAAGCAATAATTTACAGTTCTATAATACTGGTATCTGTATTTTCATTGTTCTGTACTAATTTTCCAAGGATGGTCTCTGTCTCTTACAGTATCTGCTTCTACTGTATTTGTGTAGTTTAACTGTTCTTTGTTTCGCATATGATATACATAAAGACTTATTCTTAAAGCAATGTTTATTCCGGTTTATTTTTATGGGGTCATAACACAAAATTATTTTTATGGTAAAAAGGTGGTAAACATGCGAACTTCAAAATATTAGCATGATGCAGTTAGCATTAGCACTACTTCAGCTATCTACTGTATAAATATGGCTATTTTGCAATGATGTGTTTCAACATGAATTTGATCATCTGATAAGAGACTCAAGGACTGCAAGAAAATCCTAAGAATGATAGAAAATAATAAATAAATACAACTTTTATAAAAGGCAGACATGGTTGTTTAGAACTCAGAGGCGGCAGGGTGGGCTGAGCTGACAAATAGAGATTACATTTATGTAGAACACACAGAAAGTAAAAATATATTGATATTGATAGTTATGAGTTTAACGTGGAAAAAAAAAAATACTGAAGCCTAACAGAA